CGTTACTCATTCAGTCACAGAACTCAATCCACAGTCTGCATCACCTGCACTGGACTAACTCCAGGGACAACCAGCTACGTGCAAAACAGAGAATCAGTGAGATGGAAAAATGGAAAAATGTGAGGTCACTATTACAAGGAGAAGCAAACAACGTGAAGAAAAGAGGAAACAGAGACCGATGGGATAGTTAGTGGTTTTCTGAGGCACATGAAACATTTTAGCCAATCTGATTGTTTGTGAAAGAAATGATTTTGATCAGAAGTTGAGTTTCAGCACAGAGCGGCTCTGCTCTCTCTCAGGGTAATGAGGACTGACACGAGTGAGAGACACAGCATTCACAGGGGGAAGGGAGAGAGGGAGGGAGAGAGAGAGAGGGGGGAGAGAGAGAGAAAGAGAGAGAGAGAGAGAGGGGGGAGAGAGAGAGAAAGAGAGAGAGAGAGAGAGAGAGGGGGGGGGTGTCCGACACACATGCCTGTTCATATGCCAGAAGAGCGAGTTACTGGAGGAAACTAATGTTTTTACTCATCAAGGACGCAAACAAATCCATTTCAGATAAATGCTAAACTTTCTATTCATCAAAGAATCCTGAGAACACAAATCTGTTTTCAACACAGATAATAATCATAAATGTTTCTTGAGCATCAAAATCCTCATATTAGAATGATTTCTGAAGGATCATGTGACACTGAAGACTGGAGTAATGATGCTGAAAATCCAGCTTTGATCTCAGGATTAAATTACACTTTAATATACACTGGACAAAATTATAAACGCAACACTTTTGTTTTTTCCCCCAATTTGGTGAATTGAATGTTCATTTCTCTACTATAAGCCGAGACGGCTTATGGTAGAGAGGCGTTTCAGAGAATTTGGCAGTACATCCAACCGGCCTCACAACCGCAGACCATGTGTTACCACACCAGCCCAGGACCTCCACATCCAGCATCTTCACCTCCAAGATCGTGTGAGACCAGCCACCCGGACAGCGGCTGCAACAATCGGTTTGCATAACCAAAGAGTTTCTGCACAAACTGTCAGAAACTGTCTCAGGGAAGCTCATCTGCATGCTCGTCGTCCTCATCGGGTCTCCACCTGACTGCAGTTCGTCGTCGGAACAGACTCGAGTGGGCAAATGCTCACATCAGATGGCGTCTGGCGCTTTGGAGAGCTGTTCTCTTCACGGATGAATCCCGGTTTTGCCTGTACAGGGCAGATGGCAGACTGCGTGTCTGGCGTCGTGTGGGTGAGCGGTTAGCTGATGTCAGCGTTGTGGATCGAGTGGCCATGGTGGCGGTGGGGTTATGGTATGGGCAGGCATATGTTATGGACAACGAACACAGGTGCATTTTATTGATGGCATTTTGAATGCACAGAGAAACCGTGACGAGATCCTGAGGCCCATTGTTGTGCCATTCATCCACGACCATCACCTCATGTTGCAGCATGATAACGCACGGCCCCATGTTGGAGGATCTGTACACGATTCCTGGAAGCTGAAAACATCCCAGTTCTTGCATGGCCAGCACACTCACCGGACATGTCCCCCACTGAGCATGTTTGGGATGCTCTGGATCGGCGAATACGACAGCGTGTTCTAGTTCCTGCCAATATCCAGCAACTTCGCACAGCCATTGAAGAGGAGTGGACCAACATCACACAGGCCACAATCAACAACCTGATCAACTCTATGCAAAGGAGATGTGTTGCACTGCGTGAGGCAAATGGTGGAGGAACTGATGGAGGAACTGATGGAGGAACAGAGGGAGGAACTGATGGAGGAACAGAGGAACTGACGTAGGAACTGAGGAGGAACTGAGGAGGAACTGAGGGGGAACAGAGGAACTGACGAAGGAACTGACGGAGGAACAGAGGGCGGAACTGACGGATGAACTGAGGAGGAACTGACGGAGGAACAGAGGGAGGAACTGAAGAGGAACTGACGGAGGAACAGAGGGAAGAACTGAGGAGGAACTGACGGAGGAACTGACGGAGGAACTGACGGAGGAACTGACAGAGGAACAGAGGGAGGAACTGACGGAGGAACTGACGAAGGAACGGAGGAACTGAGGGAGGAACAGATGGAGGAACTGACGGAGGAACTGAGGGAGGAACTGAGGGGAACTGACGAAGGAACTGACGAAGGAACTGACGGAGGAACTGAGGAGGAACTGACGGAGGAACTGAGGAGGAACTGACAGAGGAACTGATTGATGAACTGATGAGGAACTGAGGAGGAACTGACGGAGAAACAGAGGGAGGAACAGACGGAGGAACAGAGGGAGGAACTGAGGAAGGAACTGAGGGAGGAACTGAGGGAGGAACTGAGGAAGGAACTGAGGGAGGAACTGAGGGAGGAACTGAGGAAGGAACTGAGGGAGGAACTGAGGAAGGAACTGAGGGAGGAACTGAGGGAGGAACTGACGGAGGAACTGATTGATGAACTGATGAGGAACTGAGGAGGAACTGACGGAGAAACAGGGAGGAACTGAGGAAGGAACTGAGGGAGGAACTGACAGAGGAACAGAGGGAGGAACTGACGGAGGAACTGACGAAGGAACTGAGGAACTGAGGGAGGAACAGATGGAGGAACTGACGGAGGAACTGAGGGAGGAACTGAGAGGAACTGAGAGGAACTGACGAAGGAACTGACGAAGGAACTGACGGAGGAACTGAGGAGGAACTGACGGAGGAACTGAGGAGGAACTGACGGAGGAACTGAGGAGGAACTGACAGAGGAACTGATTGATGAACTGATGAGGAACTGAGGAGGAACTGACGGAGAAACAGAGGGAGGAACAGACATAGGAACAGAGGGAGGAACTGAGGAAGGAACTGAGGGAGGAACTGAGGAAGGAACTGAGGGAGGAACTGAGGGAGGAACTGAGGAAGGAACTGAGGGAGGAACTGATTGATGAACTGAGGAGGAACTAAGGAGGAACTGAGGAGGAACTGATGGAGAAACAGAGGGAGGAACAGACGGAGGAACAGAGGGAGGAACTGAGGGAGGAACTGAGGGAAGAACTGAGGGAGGAACTGAGGAAGGAACTGAGGGAAGAACTGAGGGAGGAACTGAGGGAGGAACTGACGGAGGAACTGATTGATGAACTGATGAGGAACTGAGGAGGAACTGACGGAGAAACAGGGAGGAACTGAGGAAGGAACTGAGGGAGGAACTGAGGGAGGAACTGACGGAGGAACAGAGGGAGGAACTGAGGGAGGAACTGACGGAGGAACTGAGGGAGGAACTGACGGAGGAACTGAGGAAGGAACTGAGGGAGGAACCGACGGAGTAACTGAGGGAGAACTGATTGATGAACTGATGAGGAACTGAGGAGGAACTGACGGAGAAACAGAGGGAGGAACAGAGGGAGGAACTGAGGAAGGAACTGAGGGAGGAACTGACAGAGGAACTGACGGAGGAACAGAGGGAGGAACTGATTGGTGAACTGATGAGGAACTGACGGAGAAACAGAGGGAGGAACTGATGGAGGAACAGAGGGAGGAACTGAGGAAGGAACTGAGGAAGGAACTGAGGGAGGAACTGAGGGAGGAACTGACGGAGGAACAGAGGGAGGAACTGAGGAAGGAACTGAGGGAGGAACTGACGGAGGAACTGAGGAGGAACTGACGGAGGAACTGACGGAGGAAGAGAGGGAGGAACTGAGGAAGGAACTGATGGAGGAACTGACGGAGGAACTGAGGGAGGAACTGAGGAGGAACTGACGGAGGAACTGAGGAAGGAACTGAGGGAGGAACTGACGGAGGAAGAGAGGGAGGAACTGAGGAAGGAACTGATGGAGGAACTGAGGGAGGAACTGAGGGAGGAACTGACGGAGGAACTGACGGAGGAACAGAGGAAGGAACTGAGGGAGGAACTGAAGGAGGAACAGAGGGAGGAACTGAGGAAGGAACTGAGGGAGGAACTGACGGAGGAACTGAGGAGGAACTGACGGAGGAACTGAGGGAGGAACTGACGGAGGAACAGAGGGAGGAACTGAGGGAGGAACTGACGGAGGAACAGAGGGAGGAACTGAGGGAGGAACTGAGGGAGGAACTGAGGGAGGAACTGACGGAGGAACAGAGGAAGGAACTGAGGGAGGAACTGACGGAGGAACAGAGGGAGGAACTGAGGAAGGAACTGAGGGAGGAACTGACGGAGGAACTGAGGAGGAACTGACGGAGGAACTGAGGGAGGAACTGACGGAGGAAGAGAGGGAGGAACTGAGGAAGGAACTGATGGAGGAACTGACGGAGGAACTGAGGGAGGAACTGAGGAGGAACTGACGGAGGAACTGAGGAAGGAACTGAGGAAGGAACTGAGGGAGGAACTGAGGGAGGAACTGAGGGAGGAACTGACGGAGGAAGAGAGGGAGGAACTGAGGAAGGAACTGAGGGAGGAACTGACGGAGGAACTGACGGAGGAACTGACGGAGGAACTGAGGAGGAACTGACGGAGGAACTGACGGAGGAACAGAGGAGGAACTGAGGAGGAACTGACGGAGGAACTGAGGAGGAACTGACGGAGGAACTGAGGAGGAACAGAGGAGGAACTGAGGAGGAACTGACGGAGGACCTGAGGAGAAACTGACGGAGGAACTGACGGAGGAACTGACGGAGGAACTGACGGAGGAAGAGAGGGAGGAACTGACGGAGGAAGAGAGGGAGGAACTGACGGAGGAAGAGAGGGAGGAACTGACGGAGGAAGAGAGGGAGGAACTGACGGAGGAACTGACGGAGGAACTGACGGAGGAAGAGAGGGAGGAACTGACGGAGGAAGAGAGGGAGGAACTGACGGAGGAAGAGAGGGAGGAACTGACGGAGGAAGAGAGGGAGGAACTGACGGAGGAAGAGAGGGAGGAACTGACGGAGGAAGAGAGGGAGGAACTGACGGAGGAAGAGAGAGAGAGGGAGGAACTGACGGAGGAAGAGAGGGAGGAAGAGAGGGAGGAACTGAGGGAGGAACTGAGGGAGGAACTGACGGAGATCAAGCGTTCTCAGACCTGGTTGAATGTTTTGAAGTGCAGCTCCTTGTAAAGCGCGTCCCGCTCGTCCAGCTCCACCCATCCAGTGGCCTTCAGCTCCAGCAGAACCTGCTCGCGCTCCGCCGGGGAGAGCCAGTCTGAGGCCTACAGGAACACACAACTGTTCATTATACACACACTCATACACACACACACACTCATACACACTCTCTCTCTCTCACACACACACACACAATCACAGCTCCAACAGAACCTGCTTACGCTCCGCCTGGGAGAGCCAGTCTGAGGCCTACAGGAACACACCGTCATCATTACACACACACACACACATACACGCACACACACTCATCCACACTCTCTCTCTCACACACACACACAATCACAGCTCCAACAGAACCTGCTTACGCTCCGCCTGGGAGATCCAGTCTGAGGCCTACAGGAACACACAACTTTTCATTATACACACACTCATACACACACACACACACTCATACACACTCTCTCTCTCACACACACACACACTCACAGCTCCAGCAGAACCTGCTTACGCTCCGCCGGGGAGAGCCAGTCTGAGGCCTACAGGAACACACCGTCATCATTACACACACACACATACACGCACACACACTCATCCACACACTCATATCATACACTCTTACACACACACAGTCTGCAGTAACGGAGGTTCTTGCACAGATTGATACTGGTTTCTACATTTATATGGTTGGTGTAATAAAGCATTACATTAAACTCTTCCCAGTTATTCTCTAATCAGCATGACAATCTTTACAGTTATGAACATCTTACTTGGACATCAAACCAAACTATTGAGCTCAACATATACTTCCTTTATTTTCTGAGCATTTTAGTTATATTTGGTTTAATATGAGTGTAATAGTAATTAATAAGTGGAAAAATGAAGCCTACCATTACATACAATTATTACAGTTTATTTTTTAAGTTAATAAAATCATCTAGTGTATTGAGTAAGGCACTGATTGAGTGAAAAAAGAGCATCATCACATAATCCTATCTGTGTAGATGAACAGAAGCGAGATGATGAATGACAGATCACAGTGATTGAGATGTTTAATCCACACTGTCAAACACAGTAAATCACGTGTGCTGTTATTCGCGCTCAGAAAGACACATTCATACATTAATAACTGGTGATTCTATAACGCGCGTTCAGGCTTCAATATTGTGGATTTTGTTCGTCAGTTTAAAGGGTGTTTGCGCCACCTGTCGGTCATAACCGGTCATAACAGAGCCATGGCGCTCGAGATCCGCTGCAGAACAAGATCATGAGTGTGAGTGAGTGAGTGTGTGTGTGTGTGTGTGTGTGCGTCTGAGAGTGAGAGAGAGAGAGAGAGAGAGAGAGAGAGAGAGAGAGAGAGAGAGAGAGAGAGAGAGAGAGAGAGAGAGAGAGAGAGAGAGAGAGAGAGAGAGAGAGAGTGTGTGTAAGTGTAAGTGTGTGTGTGTGTGTGTGTGTGTGTGTGTGAGGGAGAGAGAGAGAGGGGGAGAGAGAGAGAGTGACACACTATCACACAGAACCATTGAGAGCACAAAAACATACACCTACCTCGGCCTGAAAATAACTCCAACTGGCAACTTTACTTTGGCTGTGAATGAACTCAAAGAGAAAGCTCAAAGGGCTTTCTATGCCATAAAAAGATCCATCAAAATTGACATCCCAATCCAAATTTGGCTCAAACTTTTCAAATCAATAATTGAACCAATTGTTTTATATGGCAGTGAAGTGTGGGGTCCTTCTATCAAATTTGATTTTTTAAATTGGGAAAAACATCCAATTGAAACTCTACATTTAGATTTCTGTAAACGAATTCTCAAAGTCCAAAGGAAAACACCAAACAACGGATGCAGGGCAGAATTAGGCCAATACCCTCTCCTTCTAAACATCCAAAAAAGAGCCATCAAATTCTGGAAACACCTAAAAACAAGCGACCCCAACACATACCACTACAAAGCCCTACAACACCAAGAGCTGAGCGTAGCGAGGAGTCCCCTGTGCCACACACACACACACACACACACACCTGAGAGGAGTCCCGTGTGCCAGCGGGTGCTGAGACTGACTGGGCTCTCTCCTGCAGAGATCAGCTCGCCTCAGCACACACACACACTCACACACATTCGGCCCGCACAAATTATCACCACAGAACAAGACAAGTACATCACCCATTGGACAAACACCATTAAAAACCAACACAAACTGGAATGTTATTCGGCACTAAATCGAGAGTACACTGTTGCGAACTACCTGAGCACAGTGAGTGATGTGAGACTCAGGAGAACCCTGACGATGTACAGACTCAGCGAGCACAGCCTGGCCATAGAGACGGGAGTGTGTGTGTGTGTGTGTGTGTGTGTGTGTGTGTGTGTGTGTGTGTGTGTGTGTGTGTGTGTGAGAGAGAGACTCAGCGAGCACAGCCTGGCCATAGAGACGGGCCGGCGCAGACAGACCTGGCTCTCCCGTGAGGACAGACTCTGCCCGCACTGCACCCTGGGAGTGACGGAGACCGAGCTGCACTTCCTCACAGACTGCCCAAAATATAAACGCATCAGAGACCACTATTACCCCAAAATTAATCAAATATTTCCCCATTTTAACACCTGTAACCCAACCCAAAAACTCCGTTTCATTCTTGGCGAAGAAGCCAAATGCTCATATATAGCTGCAAAATTTGTATCATCCTGCCATATCCTGAGGGACGACCAGAGACCAGCAAACATCCAATAAACACACACTCACAGCCTAAGACCTACACAGTACACACACGCACACACACACTCACAGCCTAAGACCTACACAGTACACACACGCACACACACACTCACAGCCTAAGACCTACACACATGTATATGTTCAATTCCAAGTTCAGTGTTCGTTTGTTTTTTGCTTGTTTTTGTTTTGTACAGAGATGTTTTCCAAATCCTTTATATTTTATTTATTAATCTTTGTTTATTTTATTATTATGGTTTTATGCTTTCAGTATTATTATTTTGTGTACTAAATGTTCTAAATCATTTTCTATGTTGTTTTGATGCTTTGGCAATACAAAATGTATTTTTTTGTCATGCCAATAAAGCTTTCTGAATTGAATTGAATTGAGTGTGTGTCTGAGAGAGAGAGAGAGAGAGAGAGAGAGAGAGAGAGAGAGAGAGAGAGAGAGAGAGAGAGAGAGAGAGAGAGAGAGAGAGAGAGAGAGAGAGAGAGAGAGAGAGAGAGAGAGAGAGAGAGAGAGAGAGACACTGATCTTATTGATCCGCTAGATGGCGCTCGACTCCAGTGGCTAGTTACGGTGGTCGAGAGGTGCAATTTGCAAAACAATCACAATAATGACAACACATTAACAAACGACACTTGCTGTTGGCTTGACTGTCGGTATTAATGATTATTTCGAGAATGGGTTAAATCTGACACACACAGAAGTGTCTCCCTTTCTAGGGAACCAAATGTAGCATTTATTTGATTAGCTGCCAAATACTAGGATTAGTAACGTTACAAACCACTCACACACTGGAAGCTCGTGCGTGTTTTTAGTCTAGCCTTTGATTGGTCGACGCGCTGCCGACGTCACTTCAGTGAAAGAGCGCTCGTGCTCGTCGCGTTCCCAGTTATTGGTCAAAATGAACACTTCTTACCATTCTCCCTGTACGGCTCTCCGCAGACAGAGAACAGCGGGATAGTTTAGTGAACACACTCGGCCATCGGCGGCTGGAGGTCAGAGTAAACATTAACCAGCTCATGGCCGCCCTGTGACAGCAGCAGCAGCGCGGGAAACAGCGGAGAGAGCTGCCCCGACACCGCCTGAGCAGAATATATTACAGTGCCGATGATGATGATGGCTGTGTTCAGTTCAGTGTATACCATTAGATGAGGCGTGTAGGTTCCCTCAGTGTAACACTAGATGAGGCGTGCAGGTTCCCTCAGTGTATACCACTAGATGAGGCGCTCTAGTAAGTGAACATGTTTCTGCGGCTCCAGCGGTCCTCCCTGGCCGGGTCTCTGTCAGTTAAAGGGACAGTTCACCCAAAAATTCTGTCATCATTTACTCTTCCTCAAGCTGTTTCAAACCTGTATGAGTTTCTTTCTTCTGCTGAACACAGGAAGATATTATGGAGTAATTAATGATTTTTGCACGAAAGTGAATCAATCAAAACTAACTTTATTGGACAACTTTATTCTAGAGCTGCAGTAAAGCCTAACTATCTCTGTTACTGTAATCTCCCATTATCACTGTAAAGCTGCCTTGAAACAATCTATAATGTTAAAAGCGCTAAAGAAATGAAGCTAGGAGACTTGACTTAAATAATGTTTGTAATCAAACAGACTTCCATAGTAGGAAAAAAAAATATGGATATTAATTTACAATATGTATAAATTACATACTATTGATTACTATATATTTCATAATAAAACAAATTGAACGTAATTTCTTTCACTTGATAAAATTTATAGATTAAAAATAGCCTAATAATATTAATAGCCTACTAAGTTGAACATAATTTTTTCAATAAATAAATGACTAAATGTAAATGTGTAAATGTAAATTTATTGGTCAAAATCATGTCTGACCCATCATATCTTCCGATATATCGCGCATCTTACTCGTGCTGTTCAATTTTTATAATCAGCATGTAAAAAAAAAACATTATAATATTTTGACAAAAATGAAATTAAATGCGCTTATTTAATGGCTACAACACACATATAGTGGGCCTGACTCTCTAAATATTGAAACAATTAACATTAACAATGCTGAAGTGCAGTTAATTAATAGTAAATGTTAATCTAATTAGGTGTTACCGATTTTTTATATACCGATTCAGAGGTCTCGTGAGTTCAGTGTTGGACAGGTCAGTTCACACACCGCGGTAATTCAGGAGAACAAATCTCCAAATGCTCCACGTGAAATTGCGGTCTTCCGACCTTTTACTATCGTGTCAATTGATTTTGATTAATATGCGCGAGAAGTGTTTGAAGTGAGAGTGCGCGCGGCCGGGGCTCTCTCTCTCTCTCTCTGCTCGTGATGCGCCCTGTCAAGCGCAGCAGTCATTCTATTCTACATCACTCACCGATCAAAAAAGGCTTTGGCGGGACAAAAATTTGCCGTTATTATGTCAAAATACCGAGATATTATATTGAAATAACGACTTAATATCTCGAAATAACATATATTTGAATATAATTAATTCCAGACATTATTTTGGGGGGTGCTATCGGGGTGCTTTGGACTTTCTTGGGGGAGCTGAAGCACCTGCTAGCCCCTCCCTAGCGCCGCCCATGGTTATAACACTGAGGCGTCTTTATGGCTTCTGTTTTCTGATCGTCATTTTGGAAAGAGTGTTCTGCAAAAACTTATTTGGAGGAAATTTAAACGGCATCCGATTCATTCAGCAGAATTGCAGTTAATACAGCAGCGACCACAGAGTGTGTGTGTGTGTGTGCGGCTGTCTCTGGAGTCAGTGGTGATGTCAGTGCAGTGTAGGACTGATCTGGAGTCAGTGGTGATGAAGTGCAGTGTAGGACTGATCTGGAGTCAGTGGTGATGTCAGTGCAGTGTAGGCCTGATCTGGAGTCAGTGGTGATGTCAGTGCAGTGTAGGACTGATCTGGAGTCAGTGGTGATGAAGTGCAGTGTAGGCCTGATCTGGAGTCAGTGGTGATGTCAGTGCAGTGTAGGCCTGATCTGGAGTCAGTGGTGATGTCAGTGCAGTGTAGGACTGATCTGGAGTCAGTGGTGATGTCAGTGCAGTGTAGGACTGATCTGGAGTCAGTGGTGATGTCAGTGCAGTGTAGGACTGATCTGGAGTCAGTGGTGATGAAGTGCAGTGTAGGACTGATCTGGAGTCAGTGGTGATGTCAGTGCAGTGTAGGACTGATCTGGAGTCAGTGGTGATGTCAGTGCAGTGTAGGACTGATCTGGAGTCAGTGGTGATGTCAGTGCAGTGTAGGACTGATCTGGAGTCAGTGGTGATGTCAGTGCAGTGTAGGACTGATCTGGAGTCAGTGGTGATGAAGTGCAGTGTAGGACTGATCTGGAGTCAGTGGTGATGTCAGTGCAGTGTAGGACTGATCTGGAGTCAGTGGTGATGTCAGTGCAGTGTAGGACTGATCTGGAGTCAGTGGTGATGTCAGTGCAGTGTAGGCCTGATCTGGAGTCAGTGGTGATGTCAGTGCAGTGTAGGACTGATCTGGAGTCAGTGGTGATGAAGTGCAGTGTAGGCCTGATCTGGAGTCAGTGGTGATGTCAGTGCAGTGTAGGACTGATCTGGAGTCAGTGGTGATGTCAGTGCAGTGTAGGACTGATCTGGAGTCAGTGGTGATGTCAGTGCAGTGTAGGACTGATCTGGAGTCAGTGGTGATGAAGTGCAGTGTAGGACTGATCTGGAGTCAGTGGTGATGTCAGTGCAGTGTAGGACTGATCTGGAGTCAGTGGTGATGTCAGTGCAGTGTAGGGACTGATCTGGAGTCAGTGGTGATGTCAGTGCAGTGTAGGACTGATCTGGAGTCAGTGGTGATGTCAGTGCAGTGTAGGACTGATCTGGAGTCAGTGGTGATGAAGTGCAGTGTAGGACTGATCTGGAGTCAGTGGTGATGTCAGTGCAGTGTAGGACTGATCTGGAGTCAGTGGTGATGTCAGTGCAGTGTAGGACTGATCTGGAGTCAGTGGTGATGTCAGTGCAGGTAGCCTGATCTGGAGTCAGTGGTGATGTCAGTGCAGTGGTAGGACTGATCTGGAGTCAGTGGTGATGTCAGTGCAGTGTAGGCCTGATCTGGAGTCAGTGGTGATGTCAGTGCAGTGTAGGACTGATCTGGAGTCAGTGGTGATGTCAGTGCAGTGTAGGGACTGATCTGGAGTCAGTGTTGATGTCAGTGCAGTGTAGGACTGATCTGGAGTCGTGGTGTTGTCAGTGCAGTGTAGGCCTGATCTGGAGTCAGTGGTGATGTCAGTGCAGTGTAGGCCTGATCTGAGTCAGTGGTGATGTCAGTGCATTGTAGGCCTGATCTGGAGTCAGTGGTGATGTCAGTGCAGTGTAGGCCTGATCTGGAGTCAGTGGTGATGTCAGTGCATTGTAGGGCCTGATCTGGAGTCAGTGGTGATGAAGTGCAGTGTAGGACTGATCTGGAGTCAGTGGTGATGAAGTGCAGTGTAGGCCTGATCTGGAGTCAGTGGTGATGTCAGTGCATTGTAGGCCTGATCTGGAGTCAGTGGTGATGAAGTGCAGTGTAGGCCTGATCTGGAGTCAGTGGTGATGAAGTGCAGTGTAGGCCTGATCTGGAGTCAGTGGTGATGTCAGTGCATTGTAGGCCTGATCTGGAGTCAGTGGTGATGAAGTGCAGTGTAGGACTGATCTGGAGTCAGTGGTGATGAAGTGCAGTGTAGGCCTGATCTGGAGTCAGTGGTGATGTCAGTGCAGTGTAGAACTGATCTGGAGCAGTGATGAAGTGCAGGTAGGACTGATCTGGAGTCAGTGATGTCAGTTGCAGTGTAGGACTGATCTGGAGTCAGTGGTGATGAAGTGCAGTGTAGGACTGATCTGGAGTCAGTGATGGTCAGTGCAGTGTAGGACTGATCTGGAGTCAGTGGTGATGTCAGTGCAGTGTAGGCCTGATCTGGAGTCAGTGGTGATGAAGTGCAGTGTAGGACTGATCTGGAGTCAGTGGTGATGTCAGTGCAGTGTAGGCCTGATCTGGAGTCAGTGGTGATGTCAGTGCAGTGTAGGACTGATTCTGGAGTCAGTGGTGTGTCAGTGCAGTGTAGGACTGATCTGGAGTCAGTGGTGATGTCAGTGCAGTGTAGGGCTGATCTGGAGTCAGTGGTGATGTCAGTGCAGTGTAGGCCTGATCTGGAGTCAGTGGTGATGTCAGTGCAGTGTAGGCCTGATCTGGAGTCAGTGGTGATGTCAGTGCAGTGTAGGCCTGATCTGGAGTCAGTGGTGATGAAGTGCAGTGTAGGACTGATCTGGAGTCAGTGGTGATGTCAGTGCAGTGTAGGCCTGATCTGGAGTCAGTGGTGATGTCAGTGCAGTGTAGACTGATCTGGAGGTCAGTGGTGATGTCAGTGCAGTGTAGGACTGATCTGGAGTCAGTGGTAGTGTCAGTGCAGTGTAGACTTATCTGGAGTCAGTGGTGATGTCAGTGCAGTGTAGGACTGATCTGGAGTCAGGTGGTGATGTCAGTGCAGTGTAGGACTGATCTGGAGTCAGTGGTGATGTCAGTTGCAGTGTAGGACTGATCTGGAGTCAGTGGTGATGTCAGTGCAGTGTAGGCCTGATCTGGAGTCAGTGGTGATGACGTGCAGTGTAGGCCTGATCTGGAGTCAGTGGTGATGTCAGTGCAGTGTAGGACTGATCTGGAGTCAGTGGTGATGAAGTGCAGTGTAGGCCTGATCTGGAGTCAGTGGTGATGTCAGTGCAGTGTAGGACTGATCTGGAGTCAGTGGTGATGTCAGTGCAGTGTAGGACTGATCTGGAGTCAGTGGTGATGGTCAGTGCAGTGTAGGCCTGATCTGGAGTCAGTGGTGATGTCAGTGCAGTGTAGGACTTATCTGGAGGTCAGTGGTGATGTCAGTGCAGTGTAGGACTGATCTGGAGTCAGTGGTGATGTCAGTGCAGTGTAGGACTGATCTGGAGTCAGTGGTGATGTCAGTGCAGTGTAGGACTGATCTGGAGTCAGTGGTGATGAAGTGCAGTGTAGGACTGATCTGGAGTCAGTGGTGATGTCAGTGCAGTGTAGGACTGATCTGGAGTCAGTGGTGATGTCAGTGCAGTGTAGGACTGATCTGGAGTCAGTGGTGATGAAGTGCAGTGTAAGACTGATCTGGAGTCAGTGGTGATGTCAGTGCAGTGTAGGACTGATCTGGAGTCAGTGGTGATGAAGTGCAGTGTAGGACTGATCTGGAGTCAGTGGTGATGTCAGTGCAGTGTAGGACTGATCTGGAGTCAGTGGTGATGAAGTGCAGTGTAGGCCTGATCTGGAGTCAGTGGTGAGAAGTGCAGTGTAGGCCTGAATCTGGAGTCAGTGGTGATGTCAGTGCAGTGTAGGCCTGATCTGGAGTCAGTGGTGATGAAGTGCAGTGTAGGACTGATCTGGAGTCAGTGGTGATATCAGTGCAGTGTAGGCCTGATCTGGAGTCAGTGGTGATGTCAGTGCAGTGTAGGCCTGATCTGGAGTCCAGTGGTGATGAAGTGCAGTGTAGGCCTGATCTGGAGTCAGTGGTGATGAAGTGCAGTGTAGGCCTGATCTGGAGTCCAGTGGTGATGTCAGTGCAGTGTAGGACTGATCTGGAGTCAGTGGGTGATGTCAGTGCAGTGTAGGACTGATCTGGAGTCAGTGGTGATGTCAGTGCAGTGTTAGGACTGATCTGGAGTCAGTGGTGATGAAGTGCAGTGTAGGCCTGATCTGGAGTCAGTGGTGATGTCAGTGCAGTGTAGGCTGATCTGGAGTCAGTGGTGATGTCAGTGCAGTGTAGGACTGATCTGGAGTCAGTGGTGATGTCAGTGCAGTGTAGGCCTGATCTGGAGTCAGTGGTGATGTCAGTGCAGTGTAGGACTTATCTGGAGTCAGTGGTGATGTCAGTGCAGTGTAGGACTGATCTGGAGTCAGTGGTGATGTCAGTGCAGTGTAGGACTGATCTGGAGTCAGTGGTGATGAAGTGCAGTGTAGGGCCTGATCTGGAGTCAGTGGTCTGGAGTCAGTGGTGATGTCAGTGCAGTGTAGGACTGATCTGGAGTCAGTGGTGATGTCAGTGCAGTGTAGGACTGATCTGGAGTCAGTGGTGATGTCAGTGCAGTGTAGGACTGATCTGGAGTCAGTGGTGATGTCAGTGCAGTGTAGGCCTGATCTGGAGTCAGTGGTGATGAAGTGCAGTGTAGGACTGATCTGGAGTCAGTGGTGATGTCAGTGCAGTGTAGGACTGATCTGGAGTCAGTGGTGATGTCAGTGCAGTGTAGGACTGATCTGGAGTCAGTGGTGATGTCAGTGCAGTGTAGGACTGATCTGGAGTCAGTGGTGATGTCAGTGCAGTGTAGGACTGATCTGGAGTCAGTGGTGATGTCAGTGCAGTGTAGGCCTGATCTGGAGTCAGTGGTGATGTCAGTGCAGTGTAGGACTGATCTGGAGTCAGTGGTGATGACAGTGCAGTGTAGGACTGATCTGGAGTCAGTGGTGATGTCAGTGCAGTGTAGGCCTGATCTGGAGTCAGTGGTGATGTCAGTGCAGTGTAGGACTGATCTGGAGTCAGTGGTGATGTCAGTGCAGTGTAGGACTGATCTGGAGTCAGTGGTGATGTCAGTGCAGTGTAGGACTGATCTGGAGTCAGTGGTGATGAAGTGCAGTGTAGGCCTGATCTGGAGTCAGTGGTGATGTCAGTGCAGTGTAGGACTGATCTGGAGTCAGTGGTGATGTCAGTGCAGTGTAGGACTGATCTGGAGTCAGTGGTGATGTCAGTGCAGTGTAGGACTGATCTGGAGTCAGTGGTGATGTCAGTGCAGTGTAGGACTGATCTGGAGTCAGTGGTGATGTCAGTGCAGTGTAGGACTGATCTGGAGTCAGTGGTGATGTCAGTGCAGTGTAGGCCTGATCTGGAGTCAGTGGTGATGTCAGTGCAGTGTAGGACTGATCTGGAGTCAGTGGTGATGAAGTGCAGTGTAGGCCTGATCTGGAGTCAGTGGTGATGTCAGTGCAGTGTAGGACTGATCTGGAGTCAGTGGTGATGTCAGTGGAGTGTAGGACTGATCTGGAGTCAGTGGTGATGAAGTGCAGTGTAGGCCTGATCTGGAGTCAGTGGTGATGTCAGTGCAGTGTAGGACTGATCTGGAGTCAGTGGATGTCAGTGCAGTGAGGACTGATCTGGAGTCAGTGGTGATGTCAGTGCAGTGTAGGACTGATCTGGAGTCAGTGGTGATGTCAGTGCAGTGTAGGACTGATCTGGAGTCAGTGGTGATGTCAGTGCAGTGTAGGCTTGAGAACCGTTACTGTCCACTACACCAGAAACCAGCGGATGGAGAACCGAGTCACACAATAAACACGATACACAGTCTTTCCCTTCACACACTTAATTTATTCTGCAAGGCAGGCGCTCACACACGCTTGCACGCACACACACACACACACACAGCGGATGCTGTCGCTGCACAGGAACACACACCACACACACACACACACACTCTAGTCCTGGTGCTCGTGGTCCTGCCCCGGGATGAGCCAGCGGATGCTGTCGCTGCACAGGATCACACACACACACACACTCTAGTCCTGGTGCTCGTGGTCCCTGCCCCGGGATGAGCCAGCGGATGCTGTCCGCTGCACAGGAACACACACACACACTCTAGTTCCTGGTGCTCGTGGTCCTGCCCCCGGGATGAGCCAGCGGATGCTGTCGCTGCACAGGATGGCGTAGAGAGTGAAGCCGGATATTGAAGAGCACGGAGAACACGAACAGCCAGTCATGCTCCTGACGGGAGCCGCCGGTAGAGGACCCACACGGTCCGTCCTCCTCGACCGCCTGATCCGGGCTCGCCCCGAAACCTGCGGAACACAGCCAATCACCAGTCACGCTTCAGCAGGAGCTACATCACCAGCCAATACAGTGGAATTAAACAGTATCCGACCCGCAGCCCGAGCCTGAGTGAACGACACACACCTGTCTGGTTGGCGATGAAGGACGTGAGCGTCTCCAGCGTTCGCTCCGTCTGGTTGAAACCGGGCCATTGGTTTGGCCACCCTGGAAGAGGAGGATATTGGGGACGGCCACGGTGCCGAAGCGCGTGGAGAGGCTGAGGAGAGAGACACACTGATGTGTCATCACGTGACTCGACACACACTCGCTCGCGGGTCAGGTGACTCGACACACACTCGCTCGCGGGTCACGTGACTCGACACACACTCGCTCGCGGGTCACGTGACTCGACACACACTCGCTCGCGGGTCACGTGACTCGACACACACTCGCTCGCGGGTCACGTGACTCGACACACACTCGCTCGCGGGTCACGTGACTCGACACACACTCGCTCGCGGGTCACGTGACTCGACACACACTCGCTCGCGGGTCAGGTGACTCGACACACACTCGCTCGCGGGTCACGTGACTCGACCCACACTCGCTCGCGGGTCACGTGACTCGACCCACACTCGCTCGCGGGTCACGTGACTCGACCCACACTCGCTCGCGGGTCACGTGACTCGACCCACACTCGCTCGCGGGTCACGTGACTCGACCCACACTCGCTCGCGGGTCACGTGACTCGACCCACACTCGCTCGCGGGTCACGTGACTCGACACACACTCGCTCGCGGGTCACGTGACTCGACACACACTCGCTCGCGGGTCACGTGACTCGACACACACTCGCTCGCGGGTCACGTGACTCGACACACACTCGCTCGCGGGTCACGTGACTCGACACACACTCGCTCGCGGGTCACGTGACTCGACACACACTCGCTCGCGGGTCACGTGACTCGACACACACTCGCTCGCGGGTCACGTGACTCGACACACACTCGCTCGCAGGGTCACGTGACTCGACACACACTCGCTCGCGGGTCACGTGACTCGACACACACTCGCTCGCGGGTCACGTGACTCGACACACACTCGCTCGCGGGTCACGTGACTCGACACACTCGCTCGCGGGTCACGTGACTCGACACACACTCGCTCGCGGGTCACGTGACTCGACACACACTCGCTCGCGGGTCACGTGACTCGACACACACTCGCTCGCGGGTCACGTGACTCGACACACACTCGCTCGCGGGTCACGTGACTCGACACACACTCGCTCGCGGGTCACGTGACTCGACACACACTCGCTCGCGGGTCACGTGACTCGACACACACTCGCTCGCGGGTCACGTGACTCGACACACACTCGCTCGCGGGTCACGTGACTCGACACACACTCGCTCGCGGGTCACGTGACTCGACACACACTCGCTCGCGGGTTCACGTGACTCGACACACACTCGCTCGCGGGTCACGTGACTCGACACACACTCGCTCGCGGGTCACGTGACTCGACACACACTCGCTCGCGGGTCACGTGACTCGACACAACACTCGCTCGCGGGTCACGTGACTCGACACACACTCGCTCGCGGGTCACGTGACTCGACACACACTCGCTCGCGGGTCACGTGACTCGACACACACTCGCTCGCGGGTCACGTGACTCGACACACACTCGCTCGCGGGTCACGTGACTCGACACACACTCGCTCGCGGGTCACGTGACTCGACACACACTCGCTCGCGGGTCACGTGACTCGACACACACTCGCTCGCGGGTCACGTGACTCGACACACACTCGCTCGCGGGTCACGTGACTCGACACACACTCGCTCGCGGGTCACGTGACTGACACACACTCGCTCGCGGGTCCGTGACTCGACACACACTCGCTCGCGGGTCACGTGACTCGACACACACTCGCTCGCGGGTCACGTGACTCGACACACACTCGCTCGCGGGTCACGTGACTCGACACACACTCGCTCGCGGGTCACGTGACTCGACACACACTCGCTCGCGGGTCACGTGACTCGACACACACTCGCTCGCGGGTCAGGTGACTCGACACACACTCGCTCGCGGGTCAGGTGACTCGACACTCTCGCTCGCGGGTCAGGTGACTCGACACACTCGCTCGCGGGTCAGGTGACTCGACACACACTCGCTCGCGGGTCACGTGACTCGACACACACTCGCTCGCGGGTCAGGTGACTCGACACACACTCGCTCGCGGGTCAGGTGACTCGACACTCTCGCTCGGGGGTCAGGTGACTCGACACTCGCTCGCGGGTCAGGTGACTCGACACTCGCTCGCGGGTCAGGTGACTCGACACACACTCGCTCGCGGGTCAGGTGACTCGACACACACTCGCTCGCGGGTCACGTGACTCGACACACACTCGCTCGCGGGTCACGGTGACTCGACACACACTCGCTCGCGGGTCACGTGACTCGACACACACTCGCTCGCGGGTCACGTGACTCGACACACACTCGCTCGCGGGTCACGTGACTCGACACACACTCGCTCACGTGACTCGACAAACACTCGCTCGCGGGTCACGTGACTCGACAAACACTCGCTCGCGGGTCACGTGACTCGACACACACTCGCTCGCGGGTCACGTGACTCGACACACACTCGCTCGCGGGTCACGTGACTCGACAAACACTCGCTCGCGGGTCACGTGACTCGACACACACTCGCTCGCGGGTCACGTGACTCGACACACACTCGCTCGCGGGTCACGTGACTCGACACACACTCGCTCGCCACGTGACTCGACACACACTCGCTCGCCACGTGACTCGACACACACTCGCTCGCGGGTCACGTGACTCGACACACACTCGCTCGCGGGTCACGTGACTCGACACACACTCGCTCGCGGGTCACGTGACTCGACACACACTCGCTCGCGGGTCACGTGACTCGACACACACTCGTTTGCGGGTCACGTGACTCGACACACACTCGCTCGCGGGTCAGGTGACTCGACACACACTCGCTCGCGGGTCACGTGACTCGACACACACTCGCTCGCGGGTCACGTGACTCGACACACACTCGCTCCCGGGTCACGTGACTCGACACACACTCGCTCGCGGGTCACGTGACTCGACACACACTCGCTCGCGGGTCACGTGACTCGACACACACTCGCTCGCGGGTCACGTGACTCGACACACACTCGCTCGCGGGTCACGTGACTCGACACACACTCGCTCGCGGGTCACGTGACTCGACACACACTCGCTCGCGGGTCACGTGACTCGACACACACTCGCTCGCGGGTCACGTGACTCGACACACACTCGCTCGCGGGTCACGTGACTCGACACACACTCGCTCGCGGGTCACGTGACTCGACACACACTCGCTCGCGGGTCAGGTGACTCGACACACACTCGCTCGCGGGTCAGGTGACTCGACACACACTCGCTCGCGGGTCAGGTGACTCGACACACACTCGCTCGCGGGTCAGGTGACTCGACACACACTCGCTCGCGGGTCAGGTGACTCGACACACACTCGCTCGCGGGTCAGGTGACTCGACACACACTCGCTCGCGGGTCAGGTGACTCGACACACACTCGCTCGCGGGTCAGGTGACTCGACACACACTCGCTCGCGGGTCACGTGACTCGACACACACTCGCTCGCGGGTCACGTGACTCGACACACACTCGCTCGCGGGTCACGTGACTCGACACACACTCGCTCACGTGACTCGACAAACACTCGCTCGCGGGTCACGTGACTCGACAAACACTCGCTCGCGGGTCACGTGACTCGACACACACTCGCTCGCGGGTCACGTGACTCGACACACACTCGCTCGCGGGTCACGTGACTCGACACACACTCGCTCGCCACGTGACTCGACACACACTCGCTCGCGGGTCACGTGACTCGACACACACTCGCTCGCGGGTCACGTGACTCGACACACACTCGCTCGCGGGTCACGTGACTCGACACACACTCGCTCGCGGGTCACGTGACTCGACACACACTCGCTCGCGGGTCACGTGACTCGACACACACTCGCTCGCGGGTCACGTGACTCGACACACACTCGCTCGCGGGTCACGTTACTCGACACACACTCGCTCGCGGGTCACGTGACTCGACACACACTCGCTCGCGGGTCACGTGACTCGACACACACTCGTTTGCGGGTCACGTGACTCGACACACACTCGCTCGCGGGTCAGGTGACTCGACACACACTCGCTCGCAGGGTCAGGTGACTCGACACACACTCGCTCGCGGGGTCACGTGACTCGACACACACTCGCTCCCGGGTCACGTGACTCGACACACACTCGCTCGCGGGTCACGTGACTCGACACACACTCGCTCGCGGGTCACGTGACTCGACACACACTCGCTCGCGGGTCACGTGACTCGACACACACTCGCTCGCGGGTCACGTGACTCGACACACACTCGCTCGCGGGTCACGTGACTCGACACACACTCGCGGGTCACGTGACTCGACACACACTCGCTCGCGGGTCACGTGACTCGACACACACTCGCGGGTCACGTGACTCGACACACACTCGCTCGCGGGTCACGTGACTCGACACACACTCGCTCACGGGCGGGTACACATGCTCACGGGCGGGTCACGTGACTCGACACACACATGCTCACGGGCGGGTCACGTGACTCGACAAATTAGGCTTGTTCGACTTGAACCAGCGCTGCACAGACCGATCGGTTTATGACATCAAAGTACCGCGAGAGCGATTGCAAAGCGTACGGAGC